TTAAAACATTGGACTCGCGTTACGATTTCATTGAAATGTACGTTCGGGATACTGTCTGTTTAAGTTAATGGCCTCGAGCAAGATATTGTGCAGTATCAATATATTAATATCTCGCTCTCGGCCATTAAACCAAACATAATACCCATCCTCATTGTATTCCTGTCAATAAGACTTTTATGAAATAAGATAGTTGTGGTTTCAAAACTAAACGCTAGCCATATTTTACTGTAAACTTTAGGATAGTTATAAAGAAAAGTTGCCAGGCAACGAAACATTCGCCCACAGCAGCTAAATCGTCCGAAAGTCGACAAGGGTTGTCACATATTTATGCTTTTGTAGGTAATACTAATAGGAGTCTTTGCAAGACACTGGTATCACCATCATACAGATTGAATGTACACAAGGTTCAACAAGCTGAAGCAAGGGCCATAACTTATTGAAAGAAATTGCTTAATTCAATAGGTTTCTCCGTTTTAATAATCTTAATAATGCATTTAAATTCAATACAGATCGGACGATAACTTTGGTCATTGGAGCGTTCAACAAGTTATAAACGGAAATTGCTGAAATTCAAGACTTTTTCGTTTTACTAATCTAAATAATGTATATAAATTTCATACAAATCAAGCGACACTTTTATGTGGGCGTACAGAAAGAAAGGTTTAAGCAGTTAACTTGATCATTCTTTGCTCTGTCTTGTAATAGTTGTTGGTGCTTTTGAGCTATTATTTATGGTTTCTCTTTTTTTTCCACTTTCTTTTATCATTATTTAAGTTGTGTAATGATGTGTTAAATTTGTCTGAGTTTAACTAGTGGTTTCAGATGTAAGTAAACTGTAAGCAAAACTATACGGAAGGGATCATTAAGTCTGTTTGCTATGCCAATAAAGTGCACTAAATAACTGTATTCGAAATTATTACCAAAGATTGTTGGAACTTTTGCCAGGGATTTACAAATTAGGAAAACGAAATTCATCTTTGAAAGATGTATAATTGATAATACAGTTCTAGCGACCCTTTTTTACTGTAACAATCATCGAAACAGGTGGACTTGATTTCCAGTACTATGGCGAGCTTTCAATTCAACTCAAGGTTAATTCAGTAAAATATATCGGTTGGTCTTATTATTCAATTATATTGTTTGCTATCTGTTTACATTTCCCGTAATAATTTTGATGATTATCCAATTAATCTAATAATTATATTGACCTGAATTATATACATGCTGAAATAATCAGACAGGATTGCTTCAGAAAAAAATAAGAAAAATATAAAACTAAATCTGCAAATGACAACTATAATGGGGTGTTTTCTTAACGTGTTTGGGAGCCACGATGGCTCTGTGAGTAAGATGTTGACTCGCTAACCTGGAGGTCCGTGTTCGATCCCTATGTTGACAGTGAAAGTTCATTGGGATTTTCCGGCTTGATTTCCCTTGTCAGTGGTGCAGGACGGGTAGTCTAGCAAGGGACAGCGTGCCGTTGTTCGTGTGGGACTAAAAACCGAGGTCCCGTGTACATATTGGCGTGCGCGTAAAAGAACCCTTGGAATTCAATAGTGCCCCTGTTCGGGCAAAATTTCCATCATAGCACACTATATGGCGTATGCCTATCTTCATTAGCCCGGTCGGTGCCACACAGTAGGACGTTCAACCCCATTGCATTTCATTTCTTACCGAGGTTAGCTAGCTTTAATTCAAACGGGTTTAAATAACTGTCGCAGGGTTGGGTTGCACAAACCTAACCCAGGCTATAGAATACATGTGTACCCAAGTGAAATATGGAATTGAAGGTACCACAATTGATTAATAACTGGGTAAGCTCTTAGATAGGGTTGTAAGGTAACTAACACTAACCCATTTCTTATGATATTAAATAGAATCGCTCCATTAATACGTACTCAACTCCATGAACAAAACACTCACCAAAACAATAATTACAAAATACTATAAGAAATATTTTTAAAAAAAACAATTAACTGATTCTATAGAAACCCTCCCTTTAATAACACTGGCTGTGTACTGTAAATATTAGAATTCGTTGTATTCATGTAATTATTAAATATAATCATATACGTATAATAGTTTTGTATCATCTTGATATTGGCTGATTTTGACTCCTACAAGCCTAAACATGGAGAACTGTATCTTCAACAAAAGAATTTATTTTATTAATTGTTTCATTTCGGTTCTATGTATTATTTAAAACAGCAACAACACAAATTGGTGAATTGCTACCTGTTGAGAGAGGTGGTTTTGTAAATTATCTAAGAATGTATGTAATATGTAGATAAGTATATTCAATTATACCACGCCTAACATGAATTTTGAACAGATAGACCAAGTATGCCACCTAATGCGATGAAAGATATCCTGTTTTCATTATTGCATGTTAAGAAATGTTGAAGGTTCTGACCCGGTATGAATTCCTCTTCAAAACAATTACGTCTGCTGATGCTTCTTTTGCACGTTCGGCAATTAGGTGAAAATTAGTACTGAAGTACCTTTAGAAGGTGCTATTGACATATTTGCTCTATTGTTTAATATCGTCAAATATGAACGTATTTATCCGTGGTAAATTGTCAAGATTACGTTTATTTGTTTGATGTGACATATGTGTCATAAAGAAAACAGTCAGTGCATATTTTCAAAAAAATATATACCCCTTACCTTGGAATGTTGTTAGTCTCAGCATTATTTTTGTTAAAGCTATTTGTATTTTGGCGCCACAGATTCCTGTATTTCAATGCCCATTAGCATCGACAAAACTATTTCCGCTAAGAAATCAATTACTGTTATGTTGTATGTCTACTATATTTTAAAAGTACGATGGAATACGTCCTTGGCCTGTTTATTACTACTTTATAGTAATTGCTATATACTCCCTACTGACTGCTGGATGACGTTATGTCAGAGTTAACCAAGGGCATAGATAGTACAACTATATGAATATGGGTTTCGGCAAATTGTATTACAGTAATGTGCATCGTTCATTATTTTTAAGCCCAAATATTTAATTGTACATTACTGCTACATCAAATATTAAAGTTTTAACAAAAGTCACTGGCAGTTTTCAAAATACCAAAGAAAACAATGATATAACTGAAGAAAACTTCAGAGTGTTATCGGGTGTATTAAAAATCATTTACATCTAAAACTCTTATCAACTCTGTCATATACGTGTCTGTAAACATAAGCAAATAAAATATAAACAAATAAAATAAAGTAGATTTTTAAAACAAGGAAACAGTAACTACAGTGACCAAGTATACCGATTTACTTCAAAAACAGTTACGATAAAATAGCTCGAAACAGAATGTATAATTCCACAACAATGAATAAAAGCATCCAATGTTTCATAGTCAATACAAACATGTGACCGTCACAGGAGTTCCAAATTACAGCTACGGATAAATTAACCCAATAATATTTTCATATTTCGACTGATTATTGCTGACTAAGCTCAATTTACCGACTTACTGAAATACTATGCCCCCAGAATAAGAACCAGGTTTGAATATAACACGATTTTAATATATTTGCCGCAAAAATTACAGATTCCATCTTATTTTCTAAGAAACAATGTCAAAATGAAATCAACGGTGTTATAGAAACAAAGATGTGTTTTATATCAATAGACATTTACACACAGCAATGTACGTATTGTAAAAATCTGTTGGAACCATGGTCCTCCCCATGCATAATGTGACCTTTTCAATTACAGCAGGAGGAGTTTTTGGTTGTCCTGTGGATACGTAAATGAACCATCTTCAAGGTCACATTTTCGATGTATTGACGTCATCCTATTACGACACCAAGAAACAAATATTGTAATTTTTTAATGCTTACTAATATAAAAGGAGAACCTCGCCTTTCAATTTCCTTTTAACAATTTCTCTCCAATTTCCAAAAACCACTCATAAAACAGTGTTAAATTTAATTAAATAATTTTGTTAATTTTATCACAGAGATATAAACCACAAGAGGTAATCGTTTCTAGTAAAGACATTAAAAATTTTAAACAGGTTGTTGTACATCTTGAGTTCAGATTAATTATTTATTCCAAATACAGATCACCAGAACACCCCATAATCTTGTTACCTAAAGTATTTACGTCAAGAGAATATTTTTAGCCAAAGAAATATTTATTTAGAATTTTTCGAGCTACGTGTGAAGTGGCTTGTTATGTATTTCCATAGCCTGGTTTTAATATGTAATTATTTTACACTTAAGATAAAGATCATCCCGCTGATCAGAAAATTGATTTACTTTTCAACATGAATTAAGTATCAACCAGTATCTTATCACATAGTCTGACATTAAAGTAACCTAGGGCTATCACTTCTATCTACTAATAACCATTTAAATATACACTTATATGAGTAATAAAATAGTTGTAATTTAGCTCTTGTATGTTGTGCTACCTCAAATGATCAGGTTGTAATTTTTGAGAACGAAATATTAATTCACGCGCTTACACTTCTTCATTGCCACCCACCAGATGTAAGAAACTAAATTTAAATTATTACCTCACCATAAAAAAATTATTAATAATTTGAAATATAATAGCTTCAATTATGTATTAACCCTTTAATGACAACGACATCGAAAAAAAGATACGGCTTGATACTTAATTCTAAAATGCTGTTCTTTCCGCTGTTATATCATAATTTCTACATAAAATTATGGTAACAAATAGCACCATAGAAAGCAAACTGCGTAAAAGAAACAAGAGTTATTCTGTTGTTACATCAGCTGTTACTCAATATCACAACTATTATTGACATAAAACAACACGTTTAAAACAAAGATTATCTGTTAGTGATCCAGTCACAAGTATTACAATATAGGCACCACAAAGTCTTTATATATTCTTGAAGAACATGTTAGTATAATTGAGTGGAACTAAACATTAAGTGACAGTATCGTCTAAATTGTAGTGATAATTCATGCATTAGTCATAAATGTCTTCAGAAAACGGATTGAGGTTAATTATAAAATACCTTGGTTATTTCATCTTTTCCTCCAAGATGCGAACACACTTGGTAATCACGTATAAAGACAGAAATCCATGATGAAAAAGTGATACGGGGAGCACGATGCATCCAGACACTGTGTAGACTCCTTTAACACCATACCGAATGGTACTAGAGTAGTGTTCCCAGTAATCCACACTTGGGTCGATGAGAAAGCAAATATCGGCTGATCTCTTAACACTGAACACTTTTTGATTACTCGCTAATTGATTCAAGGAAGCAAAGTAGCTACCCTCCGCCGAAACTCGGCCAACACACGATAGGCCGTCCGTGAGACAACTTAGTTTTACCTCACTACCGACAGATGCTGGTAATTTAATAAGACTTCACAAGAACCTTTCTCCCGTGGAGACGTCTGCTCTAGACATTGTAAAATAACCACAATGCGTGCATCGGCCGTGTTAAACCACTGTGGCAAATTGGCAGAGCAATCAGCCTCCCTTTAATGCTATTCTTGTAAATATATTACCGTGGATTAGGTACAAAGAAGGAATATAGAACCACCAAATGGCAATTCCGTCGAACATGAAAACTCACAGAGATACGTGGGGAGGTGTTTTGTCTAAACCAGGTAGAGAAAAAACACTTGCACTGCCAGAAAGTTAAACGTACATGTAATTAGAAACCAACTTGATAAGGATTACTCGAAAGTTTTAAATTTCACAGATTAACATGGTCTAAATTCGTATATATTTGAATGAGATGGGTTTGTTAGTGGTGAGGTAGACATCTTTATTAATTCATCGTTTTAGTAAATTGTGAACTGAATGAACCCTGTTTTTCCAGATCTAGCCCCCTATCCCTCGAACTCGAATTTCGCCTCATTACCTGTTTTTTTACAAGATGTCTTCGGATTGTCTTGTTGGTAAACAGCTGGCAAACATTAAGAAACATTTCGGCGGTAAATAGATGGTGTTATATAATACGCGGATAACGGTTTTTTTTATGTAACGTATACTTTGATTTTTTTTTACATTTATTTCCCGCATTATATGTACATAAAATGTTGATTTTCCCAGACTTGAACATTAGACTACAAAATTAGGGATATTATGTTTGTCAATATCTAACACACAATTTAAAAAAACTTTCTCTTATTTCGCTAAATTGTAATCATACGTATTTATTTATGTGCAAATTGTATTAATCCCTGTCCCGTGTTTACAATCCAGACGTCATTGATATGTGATCGCAGATCTATTGTTATATACTCTTCAAAATAAGTAGGGGATATTCAGAAACAATGCACAACTGCAGAATGCACTGCTGTTTTTAATAGAGGTAACCAGTGTATGTTATAACAGGCCAATTGCCTACACATCCACATAAACAGTTCATATGGGAGACTTATCTGACGGCCCCATTTCACTCGCAAAGAGATACACCGTCAAAAGTGAAAATGGACATTTTTTATTTTTGTCTTAATAATGAGTAATTGCTCTACCAATCCTCAGACATTCAGCAATTCGTCGTGGCATGCTCCTAATCAACCGTCCAATCACGATTTAGGGCAACCTAACCCACTCCTCTTGTAGTGCCACGGCCAATTCTTGCAGTGTTGTCGGTTGTCGGTTGACGTTGACGAACACGTCTCCCGATCAAATTAAACGTAACACACTAAAGCAAAGATACACTAAACAGTAAATCTTATGCAAGAACCGATAGGAAAGCAAACATGGATACATAAACCAGCACGCGGCAGTTTTCATCAACCCTTCCTTGAAGTGTCAAATTTGACAATGAATCCCTCCCACGTGTATGGCGCTATTGTGTGTCGCATGTGCAGCTCCGTGGTTCTGTTGGGGCGATAAGTTCTTCATCTGTGAACATACACTCAAAGCATGTCAAGTGTCCATGACTTTTTATCATATCACAACCTGCATAGGTATTTGCATTTCAATATCCCCTACTTTTTTTGAAGAGTATATTTGGCGTCCATGGCTTAATAATATGTGCACAGAAGTATTAGCTATCTGGAAACTAAAACACCCCAAAATTGCTGTACGGAGCCTTCAGACATACCCGACAACTGGTAAATGCCGATAAAAAATCAGTCCGGAACATTTGCCATGAATTATTGGTGAAATATAAATTTTATAAAATATAGTTTCTTATACCTATTGATCTTACGCCACCCATTTTTCTGGGTACCGTCTCGGAAATCGAAACTGCTTTAAAAAACAAATGATTGCAGTTGGTAGATTGATGGGGTTTTTTCATTATGATTTCTCCCTATAAATATATAATTATCTTTTTCAGTAAAGTTTCTAACAAACATGATATCGTTTTATAGCACTGTGTTTATGCAGAAAACATAAAGCTATTCAGCAGCATATAAAATTCCACAGTAAAATCGTGATATAATGACGCCAAATGATTTTCTAAATGAAGGATCCACTGACAAATAAAGGGTGCCTTCTGTGGGATATTGAACCCAGGGGCAATTTTTTTTTCTTGTAATTGGGGCTACGCCCTTTAAAAAAGCTTTAAGATTTAGCCAATTCGAAAATTGGCATTTTTAGACAAATTTGCATCGATGGACGGGTTTCGATTTTTTTTCCGTCATAATTCCAAGATGGCTGGATCCTGATTCATAATGCGGTCGTACTTGTTGACCCAAGTGGATTTAATAATCATCCATCTGTGGGCTAAGTTTGGTTTTCAAGATATTATATAATAATTTATATGTCAGTAAAATGTCTACAGTTGCCCCTTCTTGTTACTAAGCATCGCTATTGTGTACACATTTGGTACCAAAAATCAAACCCTCCTTAAAAAGATTAAATGGTAAATCCATCGACTATTTGCCCATAAACTGCAATATACCTATTGAAACTCATCGCTTGATTCCGAAGAAAATGAAAATTTAACAAATAAATAACGGACAGACCGTTGTTAATAAAGCTACAGATTGTGTGAGTCATTAGAACAATAGAAAAGGACAGGAGGGATAGAGTCAAATGTCTAGTCAATACAAACTGTGCCATAACGTTACACGTATTTTTTTATCTATTTTATCTATTTTCAAATTTTGAAATAAACTATACCTATCAAAATAAATTATACAATAGTCCTGGCTGTGCCCCTAAAATCCCCCCCCCCCTCTAACACACACACAAACACACATCGTGGATTGTGGACAAGATCATAAGTTACATTAGACGACCGAGAGATTCTAACTTAGATATGAAAATATGAAGTTCATTCTATATGTGCCCTCATTCGATCCACAATTTTGAATGTGGCTTGAAATCCGCTGGCAGATATATATATGTTCATAGCACCGCCAGTTCGGCAGTAAATGGGACATCATTCATACATTAGTGACTATTTGCCTTTGATAAGGACTGGCTGGGATTTGTAGCACGATTGAAGTTTGAAATCTCGGCCAGTATATACCCTAGAATGCACCAAATTCAATCTATTCACACCCATCCCGCCTTCAACATTTATCCGGCCCTGCCATGCAATAACTCTACGGGTTAGAGCTAGGTTTTGAGGAGGTGGTGGGAAGTAAACTTGCTCGACTGATTTAACTATAACTACTCATAACTTTTCAGAATGCAACGTCGCTCATGACTTATCCAATTGCTGGGTCTTTATACTTAGTCGTGGGGACCAACTTTCTTTCTGGGATTGTGTAGCTAGTAATAAGGATGAACCCTATCTTAATTGAAAGGACATAGATCAGTTATATGAAGATTTATTGCTCTTGTCAAGAAAACCTTAAAATAGCTTGAAATGGGACTTGTTTCACTAGCCAAAACGTTAAATCTGAAACACCTGGACATCAGAGCAATTGCAAAGATTTTCCAGGAAGCTTAACAAAATATCAAAAATTCTAACCTATGGAGTGTTTATAAAGATTTTAACGAGCAGGTGGATAGGTGTGACGACTAATTAAAAAGCCCTAATAATATTAATATTTAAATAACTATGCAAATAATTCCGATTCTTAATAGGGTTGATGTCATAAGTATTTGACAATATGCCGTAAGTTCAGCAAGTATGAAAAATAAATTTAAAACCATATTTAGTTTTAGACTGATTACAAGGAATTGGACGGACCGGACTGATATGCCACCATGTTAACATTTGGGCTTATAACGAAAAATAAAAAAAACATTTCGATAAACATGAAGATCACTCTCAATTGTTTTTACAAGTAAAGTGATATATTTAGGAAAAAACACAGCAGCAGTTCATCAAGGACTTCTAGCACACACAACTGAAAATTATAATATCCAGTATGATTTTTAATTTGTCAACATAGATTTTAAAGTTTTATATTGTGGAAAATGAAAGCACAACGTACTATTTATAAGACATAACCTTGGGATTGTTTTACACGCAGTAGATTCTAGCACAATCATCGTCTCATCAGTTAGATAAGTTTGGCATATTATAGTTCGACTTCGGGAAAACTAATTTACATAAAAGATGGATTCACACAATGTCACCACGTTTTGGTTTGACAAACCTGGTGCTGCTACGAGTCTTTGCATTCAGTTGGTGCGAATGATATGTTTTTGCCTAGTCTTGGACAGGCGCCAGTGTAAATCTTCTACCACTTGGTATTGAGAAAGTCAATGATTCTGGATGCAGGCCAAACATACACACATTGTTAGTTTTAGCGAGATTTCCAAGTACCGTTTCTGTCGATTGCGACTCGGTGTGAAACCATGAGAAGAGTAAACGATTTTGGATAGGGTAATTTCACTTGCCTTTTCTTTGGTGTTTCTCGAATCTGAAGACAAGTCCAGACGTATTATAAACTAATTATTTTGCACTGTATACAACACGAAAGCTAGACTTAGTGTTTTTTACAAGTGGTTGCCCTAAATGCCTGAACTTTCCGGGTTGATGAAAGAGATCAAAATACAAAATAATGATTACCTTATTATGTAACTCTTAATTTTAGACCAATAGAAATTAATCAGATTTCATAGATCGCCAACTCAACGGAATCAAATTAAACCTTTATAACTAAATGAATTTATCATGTTATCATGACAAAATAAATTGAAGGACACACAATCAAGTATAGTTAATGATCGTCGCCCAATCACACCTCGAACCAATTTGAATACCAATGATAACATCGCGAAAAATCAGCCTTATGCACGCGCGCACACACCCACACACACACACACACACACACACTTGACATGGGCAACTGGTTGAAAGAACCTGTGATTGCAGGAGGAATGGGTTAAGTAAATGTAAGATTACGCCAATTAGCAATTGTGTCGCCCAATATGGATGGACGGACGGCAAGTGTATTAAAAAGTCAGATGGTAATTGCGGACCCCGAAGTGTTAACAAGATTTCGTTTATATTATACAGAACCACTTTGGTAC